AGGACATACCACCAGCCTGGGTTGCCAAAGGGGAGGAGGGCGGTGGGTCTTAATTACTAGAGACATTAGTCACCAGAATCTTGGATTCTGGTGTTCCTCAGGCCATAGGGAGAGGAGAGAAGGGAATCAGTCATGGTCCATCAGAGAGGCTGATCACACCCAGTTCTGGACACTTGGGTTCCTGTTGCCCCTCTAACAGGGCACCTATAAGGAAATGTGGAGAGAATATTGGAATTAGAGTAGAAGGAACATGGTTCAAATCTTAAGCCCCACCCTTTGCTGCATGTGTGACGTGGGGCAAATCATTTCAACTCTCTGGTTCTCAGTTTCCTCATCTGTAAAATGAGCAGACCGGACTACATGTCTCTGGAATCTCTTCCAGCTCAATTCTACGATTCCATGGTTCCATGAGGTCCACAAATCACCCAAGGCCATGGGGGGGAGGGTGGGTCCTTGCTCAAGCACATATGGTCAGTTTCCCATCTCTGATGCCAATGGCAGGGAGATGCTAAATACTGGATGGGCAAGGCCTTGTTGAGTGACATACAGAATACAATCACGGGCCATGGAAATTTCCAGAAAAGGTCAGGAAGAAGGGGGCATGACCAGTGTCAGAGCAGAGGTTTCTCAGACAGATACTCCTAAAACAAGATGTGATCTTGGAGATGTCCCATGGCTTTCCCCCAAACATTTCACATCCCCTCTAGCTCAGGGTACATAACAGGTGCTCCCCCTGCCCAGAATTCATTCTGGCCTTGTCTCAGCCTTTCTGAATCCTGAGCGTCCTTCAAGGCTTCACTTTGGTGTCCCCTCCTCCATGGGGCTTTCCCTGATCTCCCAGTGGAAAGAATCCTCTCTCTCATCCCATTGTCCTGGCCCTCTGTTGTCTCTTGCATTTATTTAATATAATAGTAACAATAGCTACCATTTTTATAATTCATTAAGTGCTTTTTTGTGTGTGAGGCATTTGGGGTCAAGTGACTTACCCAGAGTCACACAGCTAGGAAGTATTACATTAAGTGCTTTTGCAAAGCACTTTATAGATGTTATTTCATTTGAACCTCATGACAAGGGGGAGATAGGTGCTATTACTATCCCCATTTTACAGATGAGAAAACTGAGGCAAATGGAGGTTAAGTGATTTGCCCAGAGTCACACAGCTAGTAAATGTGAAAAGCAGGTTTTGAACTCCGGTCATCCTGACTCCCTAGTCTGGTACTCTTTGCACACTAGGTCATCTAATTGCCCTGTATATGCATCTGTGGGTCTGTGGCATCACCCAGGCCTGCCTTGAGGGCAAGAACTGTTTCTCTTGTCTTTGTAACCCAATACAAATCCTAAGGCATTTAATAAATGTTTGCTGATGGTTGTTTTCTAAATGAAACTTTCTAATAGGGACAATAAAGGCACCTCTCTCTCAGAGCTGTTGAGAGCATCAAAGGAGGTAGTGTTTGTAAAGTGTTTAACCACAATGCCTGGCACATAGTAGGTACTTCATAAATCTTTCCTTCTTCCCTCCTTCCCTTTCTCTCCTTCCTTCCCTCCTTTCTTTCCTCCCTTCCTCTTCCTTTCCTTCCTTCTTTCTTCCCTCCCTCTCCCTCCCTCTTTTCCTTCTTTTTCCCTCCCTCCCTCCTTTTCTTCCTTCCTTCCAAGCCTGGAGTTCCCTCTTTAGTGCCCAACTATCTTTCAACCTCTGAAATGGTGATTTTCATTCCAGAATCCCATTCACTGATTTCTAAAACACAGACATAGCAATGATCTAACCCTAAATGTGGATGGGTTAAATTTTCCAATGAAAATAAAGAGAATAGAGACATGGTTAACAAAAGCAAAACCCAACAACTTGAACATATAAAACACACATTTCAAATGTATAGATACATATAGAATGAAAGTGAGGAGATGAGTTGTGTAAAATGAATGGGGGGAGGGGGTGTAAAGTTTGGCCCGGGGAGACAATAGACATCATGAAGCCCCAGTGGGAGTCAGAGAACCTGGGTTCAGATCCTAGTTCGACTCTGAGGAGATCACTTAATCTCTTTGGGCCTCAGTTTCCTCATCTGTAAGAAAAGAAGATTGAACTCTATGGCCTCAGAGAGCTGTCCTAAATCAATGATGCCATGATCGTCCTCTCCTCCTCCTGACCAGAAGTGATATGTCCTGCCTCTGAAAGCTTCGATGACTACATTGACACCTCTTATCACATTTTTCTCTTCCATTCTGCCTAGCCTTATGGTTATCTGAAGACACGCCTTGCCTCTCCTGTAAAGCTCTAGAAGGATAGGGAATCACATTTTCTTTCTTTTTTTGGATCCCTCCCATACCTAACAAGTTTTGCACATGATAGACACTTGAATGAATGAATGAATGAAAAGCAAGGCAACTCTGAAAAGAATAAAGGCAGGCTGAGAGAAGCGGTGAGAGGACAGAAGGACTTTGGTCAATGTCAAAATAATAAGATAATAAGTCTATTGGGCAGGAGTGGACCTCCCTGAAAGTGGACTGTGGGTATATGAGGTTAGGTCTTTTTTCTCCTAGTGCGTCATTGGCCAGTTATGGGAAGGGCTTCTGTGCATAATCTGAAGATTTGGCTGGAACACTGGGGTCTCCCTTGGTAAAACCAATTTAGAAAATGAGATGAACCAGTGCCCAGTGAAACAGCATTTATAAATACTGCTGACTCACTAGGGTGAGGTGAAGCATTGGTGCAGAGGGTCAGAGGGGCTCCCTGTAGACCAAAGAAGGTGAACTTTGAGCAGAGATTTGGAAGCCAGAGAATGGAATGGAGGAGCAAGCAGACAGAAGGCAGAGGGGACAGCATGAGGTACTTTTGGGGGGACAAGATAGTGAGGGCACTAGGAATGAGTGTAACCTGGGAGAAGACAGACAGGAACGTATAGGCAGGATATCGAGGCGTCTTTAGGGTGATGTGAATGCTAAAGACGATGACCTGACGTCAAATGATAGGAGGGAAGGAGCTATCAGTGAACCCCACCCCCAGTGACTAGTCTAGGTCAAGGTCATCCATATTGGCTCTGTTACCTTGGGCATATCACTTCCCTTCCCTGAAGGAGACAAATCACTCAAATGCTGCTTCCTCCATGAAGTCCTCCCAAGGCTCCCCACTATGAACTCCTATAGCCCTGATTGTCTCTATTAGGAAGCTCAAAGGGCAGTGGATAACACAATGAGCCTGGAGTCAGGAAGACCAGAGTTCAAATCCAGCCTCAGACACTTACTTAGCTGTGTGACCCTGGGCAAGTCACTTCAACTTTGGTTGAAGTGGATTTAGTTTCCTTATCTGGAAAATAAGAATAATAATAGTACCTACCTTTCAGGGTCATTGTGAAGATAAAAATGAGATAATAAGTCTTTTACAAACTTTTAAGCATTTTGTTTTTGTTCAGTCCTGTCTGACTCTCCATGACCCCATTTGGGATTTTCTTGACCAGGATACTGGAGTGGTTTGCCGTTTCCTTCTCCAACACATTTGACAGATGAAGAAATTGAGTCAAACAGGGTGAAGTGAGTTGTCCAGGGTCACACAGCTAGGAAGTATCTGAGGTTGGATTTGAACTGGGAAAATGAGTCTTCCTGACTCCAGACCAGTGCTCTATCCACTGTATGACCCAGTTACCTCAGGGCAGTTATTATCACCTGTATTTTGGAGGCAGGGGACTGATTTTCTGAGAAGTTAAAGACACCCAAGGTCACCCAGTAGGGAGTTATCTCTGCCTCCTGGCTTCCCTGGCTTCCTTCAAGTCTCAGCTAAAGAACCTTCAGCAAGAAGCCTTTCCCAGTCCTCCTTAATCTTAGTGCCTCTCCTCTGAGGCTACCCTCTGGTCCTCCCTTATATGTATCTTGTATGTATATAGTTTGTATGTTATCTCCCCCACTTCTCTGAGAGGTCCTTAAGCACAGGGGACTGTCTTCTGCCTTTCTTTACATTCCCAGTGCTTAGCACAGTGTCTGGCACATAGCGGGAGCTTAATAAAGCTTGTTGACTGACTGGTACAAGGGAATGAACATTGACAGTCTGAGGACCTGGGTTCTCACACTTAACTGTGTGACCTTGGGCAAGTTGTGGTTTCTTGGGGACTTTGTTTCCTCCTTGGTTAATAAAATGAGGCAGTTGCACCTGGATGGATTCTAAGGTCCAGGCCAGTGCTCTATTTACTGCACCTCTATGATCATACATTCCAGAACCACCAGCCCATGTAGCTAGTGAGTAGGAAAATGGAGCCAGAACTGCAGATCAGTGCTAAACCTTCTAGAAGTCCCAGGACACTGCTCTTTCCACTCTGACCCAGTCTCCTCTGTGTGTTTCTCTGGCTATTCGTTCACCCAGGACTGTCTCCTCTTGCCTGTGGTTTAGGCCCAAGCAAAACGCAGCTAGCAAACCTCAGATCTCTGCAAAGACTGAGCCCGACCCTTCCCGGGTAGATTTAAGTAAAATAAAATGAAATAAAATAAAACAATGACCACAGATCTATCGGGTCCCCTCCTGGAGGGGCTCTGTCGGTATTAGGTGATGATGGAGATGGGGACAGAGGTGAGCCAGAGTGGGGAGGAGTGAAGGGAGCCAAAGCAGACATTCACAGCCTAAGCTTCCATCCTCGTGGAGAGGGAAGCGGCTGGAGGAGAGAGTCAGAGCCCACATTGTCTCCCCAGCAACACCCCTGAAGAAAGGTGGTTTCTTCCTCCTAACAGCCCTAGGAGCTGGGGCGGGGTGGAAGGGAGGAGGGGGGACAGACTATCTGTCTCGGGGCGCCTGTGACCCGACGAGGTAAGGAGATTTGAACCTCCCTCCTTCCCCCTTCCCCCTGAGCAGGCTGAGATGGAGGAGCGGGGGGGGGGGGGGGGGGGGGGGGCGGGGAGCAGATCCCCACCCTCTCCTCTTTCTGTCTCCCATCGGGTGGGGCTGACTTCATTGCTGAGTCACAGTGCGGATGGGCTGGGGCCGGGCCGGGCTTGGGGGCTGGGTTTAGGGCTGGGCGAGCTGCAGTGAGCAGAGAGGATGAGGGGAAAGGGCCCCCCGGGAGAGGCCACTAGATCCTTCTCCGCAGCCCAGCCGCAGCCTTGTCTTCCTGTCTCCTGATGCTCGCCCCATCCTGCTCTCCAGCTGCTAGCCGATTGGAAGAGACGGGGGCAAGGTGGAGCCATCATCAGTCAACCAGGCTGGGGGCTGGTAGGGACCAGATGCAGCGAGAGGATGGGGGTGGGGGAGAGCTTGGGTGCGGTTAGCAGGAATGGACAAATGGGCGCAGGGGCCAGAGAAAAATGGACAGCCCCTCCCCTACCTCACCCCCCCTAAATCAGCAGCATCCAGTTCATACACACTAGAGCAGGCTAAATCCTTACTCTCAGGGATGGCTGGGGTGGGGCACCGGAAATTAAACCATCTCTTTAAAGACCAAATGAGGTACTGTTTGCAAAATATTTAGCATGTGCCTAACACTTTGAAGGCGCTTAATAAATGCTTATTCCCTTTCTTTTATTCCCCCCATCCTCCAAAGTATCAGCACTCCCACACACACACTTGCTTCTGGATAGACTGAATCCCTGCTCCCAACACAGGCTCAGAAAGCTCTAGACCCCGGAGAAACGAAAAGAGCAACGCCCTTTGGAAAAGCAGGGCGGGCAGAGGTCTTAGGTGAAAAGAAGCCAGGTTTGAACCTGAATGTGGTGTGCCATTCTTGGGGGTGAGAGGAAAGGATTCATTACAACAGCAGCTTGCAGAGGCAGGGTTAGGGGCCACTGGGCATGAGGCCCAGTGCCCAGTATTACACAATGGGGGATTTGGAACACGGGAGACAAAAATTCTCAGTGTAGTGGAGATAACAAAGGCTGCACGCACACAGGCATCTCAAGCCAAGGGATGGATTTGGTGTCAAGGATGTGTGCTGGGAAAGTGTGCTCTCCATGACTCAGGGAAGGCTCCAATTATTATTCCGGGGTGAGGGGGGGAGTCAATGTTCAAACTTTGCTGGGACTGCAAAGAAGCCTTGTCCAGACCCTGGCTGCTGGGCTGGGAATGTGGACGTTGAAGGAAGGCGGACTTACATTCAGTCTCAGGAAGAGCTTTCTAACAATTAGAACTGGAAGGAGCTGCCTCCTGAAGCCTGTGGTGCAGTGTCAGGAGATCTGAGTTCAAATCCCACCCTCTGAAGCTTACCTACTACCTGTTTGACCTTGGCTAAGGCACCACCTCTCTGAGACTCAGTCTCCTCATCTGTTAAATGAAGGGGTTGGACCACATGACTTCTGAGGTCCCTTTTAGCTCAATCTATGATTCTAGGAGGACTGGAGGGACTAAGGATGTCCTGCCTGATGTGGGTGGTAGGGAGGCATCCAGCTATGGGAGAGGTGCCCACCGGGGGCCAGCACTGGCAACAATTCCAGCGGCACCAAGGTCACGTGCCCAGTCCTCAGCAGCTGCTTAGAGCCACAGTGGAGATATCGGTGCAGGAGGAGCATGGGAGGTGGGGGGAGAGGAGGGGAAAGGCTCCCTCTTCTCCCTGCTGGTTATGCTCCAGATCCCTCAACCCTTTTCCCACTTGACAGCTGCCCTGATTTGGAAAGAGGCAAATCCAGTGGCCCCGCTCCAAGGTAGCACCTTGATTAAGGACCTCCTACCTTGGAGGCTAAATGGATCAGTACATGATGGGGTCTAATTTGGTCTGCCTAAAGGGTCTCTAGCTGGTACTTTGATGGAGGAATAGGATTATCCAGGAGTCCCATGGCCCAGCTTAGGTAAGCACAGATGTTGGAGCAGTTGGACTCCCTTCCTTATGACCCATCCTTGGGGGCCAGCCTGGTTCAATGGAATGACATTGGTTTTGAAATTAGAGGACTGGGTTCCATCCCACCTCCATACTACTCATGTAACCTTTATTGGCAAGTGATTTCATTCCTCTTGGCCTCAGTTTCCTCATCTGTCAAAATGAGGATTAAATAGCCTCTGAGGTCCCTTTCAACTCCTGATCTATGATGCTGTGATCCATGGGAAGGAGGGGAGGAGTCACCTGAGATGGAGCACAGGGATTCTTCAGGGTTCTAGACCAAGCCCTCCTGGGTAATGGGTTCCCTGGGTTGGGGGTAGGGGTAGGGAAGGGAGTGAAAAGGGCTTCTGAAGGGTCTAATGGAGGCTAGAAGGGGAAACATGGGAATGGTGAGGGGAGCCTGGAAGGGAAGAAGGAGAGGTCAATTTGGGCCAGTAAAAGGATACTTCTTTCCCCTTTATAGGGCTTGGTGGTAAATGCTCCACCACCCCAGCTGCAACCCTCCCTTCTGTTCTCAGCTTGGCCCAGGGCTCTGGGGAGTCAGAGGAGCACAATGCAGGACATTGACTCTGGAAACATCTGTATTTCCCACACTGCGAAGTTCAAAACAATGCTTGGGGGAGGAGGGGTAAGGGGAGGCTGGGGGAGAAGGATCAGAGAAGGGAGGAGAAGGCAGGAGAGTGGAGGGGAGAGGAAGTGATGGGAACAGTGAATGGGAGGACAGCAAAGGGAAGAAGAGGAAAGGGAAGAGAAGGGAAGAGAATTGGAGAGGAAGAGAGAGAGGAAAAGGCAAGGTAGAAGAAAGAGAAAAGCAGGGTGAAGAAAGAGACTAGAGATCAGGGATCAGAGAAGAGAGAGAAGAGGAGGCTGAAGGGACAGGAAAAAATCCAAATCAAGGAAGGAGATAGTAAAATAGAGTGGCCCACTACCCAGTAGCTTGAAGATGCTGATTGGCACTCTACCTCCTCCTTGGCCTCCTACACCTATCTCCCTGCTCAGGGGATTCAGATGCAGCCTCAGAAGGGGCCAAAGAACTGGAAGCATCTTGTCCTCATCCCCTCCCAGAAGAGCATCCCAGAGAAATGGTCACCCAGACTTTTTCACTGAAGACCTCATCACCTTCTGAGACAACAACTTTCTGTTTTTGTCAGTGCTTTGAAGCCAAATCTTGCCTCTAGGTTGCCTTGGAATTATTTCCTCCGTATATCCATCACCAAGGAGTCATTAAGTGCTGACTATTTGCTAGACCCTGAAACAATCCCTACCTCCCAAGAGAATGAGTTCTTTCAATATGTGTCCTCTCTTCTCAATTCACTTGGCAGTTTGTTGAGCCTCAAATAAAGGAGCAAGGAGTTTGAGGGCCCTTTTCCTATACCAAGCTGTAGACATATTGCTAAACCCTAGAACTAAAATGAATTCCATTCAATTAGATTCTATTCTCCTCCCCTCCACTGAACCCAATACAGAAGTCAGGAAGACTTGTGTTCAAGTTCCACTTCTGACCTACTGACTATGTGATCCTAAGCAAGTCATTTAACTTTTCAATGACTTAGGCAACTGTCCAAAATGATAATAATCTCCTGAAAAAGTGCCAAGTTGCATTGGTAAAGTAGTTTCCCAGCTGAGGAGCTCCAGTGAAATCACGAGTGTTATCCCCATCCCCGTTTATGGATTCAGTACTTACTGTGCACAGACTATGTCCTGGAAGGGGGGTGCAAGTACAAAAATAAACGAGTTCCTGTCCTTGAGGAACTTACACACTTTCGAGGGTGGGATCACTGCGGATCAAGGTCCTCTATCAAAGTAGAGGGTTGAACTCAGTGCATTTGGAGATCCCTTCCAGCTCAGATCTAGGAACCTGTGAACTAGACCCAATCTGTCCCAGCCTCTCTGACCCATCCACCTATTTTCCTGTTTGAATGGAAACTCCCTGAGGGTAGGAACTGTGTGGTTCTTTATTTTTGTACTCTGGGCACTTAGTAAGTGCTCAATGTCGCTTGATTGGCTAATTCAGTAGCCCAGCTCCCTCTTCGCCATTGGTGTGTTCTTCTTCCTTCTAGAGGCTTCTTCTGTTGCTCTGTCATTTCAGTCTTGTCCAACTTTCTGTGACCCCATTTGGGGTTTTCTTGGCAAAGATACTGGAGTGGTTTGCTATTTTCTTCTCCAGATCATTTTACAGATGGGGAAACTGAGGCAAATGGGGTTAAGTGCCCAGGATCACGCAGCTAGGAAGTGTCTGAGGCCAGATTTGAATTCACAAAGATGAGTCTTCCTGACTCCAGATCTGTGGCTCTATGCACTAAACCATCAAATGCTTCTTAGCAACACCTTATTCTGCTTTCCCACCTCCTCCATGAAGCCTTCCCTCTAAGACAGTGTTGTCAATTTCCCTCAACTCCTTTGTCACGCTAATAGGTTCTGGCATGTGAGTTGTCTCTCCAGGAAGGTTCAGAGCCCCGAGAGGACAGAAACTCTGTCTCAGTCATTTCTGTAACCCCAGTGGACCTAGGGCCCCAGACCCATTTCCTATCACTCCTAACCCTCAGCTCTGGCCAAGGAAAGAAGAAACTTGGGGAAAGGGAGGGGAGGTGAGGGGAGAATGAGCTTCTGCCATCCCTGCAGCATCCAGGGCCTTTTCCTCCACTCCTGGAAGAGAAACGAGCTTGAATAACCCAGCTGATTTGTTTGGGCCAACGTCAGATCTTATTTAAGGAGCCTATATTCTGAAGAGGCCTTGCTGAGAGCAGTGCTAAAAAAAGACCCGCTACTCACTCGTGGCCAGCCTGTGCTGGACCCTGTAGACAGGAGTCTTCTCAGGATTAGTGGGGTAGGGAAATGTAAAGTGTGTGTGTGTGTGTGTGTGTGTGTGTGTGTGTGTGGACAGGTGCCTTGAATGCTCAGCCACACAGAGTTAGACCATCAAGGCACGCTTCAGGAATGCCTGAAAGCCACCTTCCCACTGGCACACAGCCTATTGTCCTCAAAGGGGCAGACCTTCCCTGACACAGTCTGGCACAAAACATGAACACCTGGCTTTGGTCATTTGAATGTGGGTTCAAACCCTAGTTCTTCTATTTATCACCTGTGTGTCCTTGGGGAAATTGTTTCACCTCCTTAGCTCAATAAATGGAGGGTGGGGTGAGCCTACTATAGGAGATCTGAGGTCCCTTCAGATTCTAAACCTAGGATTACTGTCTGGACCATTGCCAAGCTTTGGGCCAGGCACAATTAGTTCTGTAAACAAAGTATGGATTAGTAGAATTCCCTGATCCTGACCCTCTCCCGCAAGTGTAAGTGCTCCTTCCTCCCACCTCCATTTTCTTTTTCTCTTCTTTTTTTTAAAAATTATTTTATTTGTTCCACTAAATATTTCCCACTTGCATGTAAAAAATTTTCTTGACAATCA